TCTTTTAAAAAAAAAAAAAAAAAAACCTTGTCCTTTTCCTTGGACCCAACTGAACTCCTACGTGTAGGGTGAGTGCAGTCCTGAGGGCCTGGGTTGACTAGTGGACTGATAGCCGTTCTTTGCCAGATGCATTCTGGATGTTGGGAACAAGTGGTGCTGGGTGCTAGGGGAAGCTACGGGAAGAAAAAGCCCAGAATTACAAACAGTAAATTGTGTTCTAAAGGAAAAGCAGCGAAGTTTCTGCGGGGGGGGGGGGGGGGGGGTGTACAGAGGGGCCCAGTTTGGAGGGCCCTCACATGTGCGGTGACCTGTTTAAATAATTGTGGTGTAGCCCACTTGTGCTGAGGCTCCCTGAGTGTGTCTGAGTGTGCAACCCAAGGAGCCCAGCATAGACCCCCTGTGCCTCCTCCATACTAGCTCTTGCACCCCACAGCCGCAGTGCCACTGCAGGGAGCTGAGCACTGCCTGCAGTTCCTTGGAGGGACGTCTGCTGTGATTTCTCCTGGGGGTCCGTGTACTCAGTGCTTGCTTAACTTTGGGGAAAGTCTGGCAGTTTCTTGTCACAGCTGCGCTGCAGCATTCTGGCAGTCTTAGAGGAGTGTCCCTGGTTGTGGGCCTGGTCAGCACTTGGAGTTGGAGCCCTCAGTTGCCATTCTCCAGGGGAACCAAGTCTTAACATGGATTTAATTTGCATTCCCTGAAGACCATCCATGTTTGTGGGCCATTGAATTTAGTCTTTTATGAAGGGACTCTGGTTTTCATTGTCTGTCTTTCCTTTACTTACTGATTTGTAAGGATTTCACATTTTTATTTCTATATTGTGTGTGTGCTGGAGATTGCATCCTAAGCATCGCAGGCTGCCATTTCACCAGCGGAAGTTCTTAATTTTAGTGAACTCTGGTTTATCAACTGTTTCCTTTATGGTTAGTGCTTTTTGTGTCCTGCTTAAGAAATCTTTGCCCTCTGGGGTCCTGAAGACATTTTCTTGCCTTTTCTTCTGGAGACCTTGTTTTTGGGCCTCCCATATTGGACTGGGAGCTGTCTGGACTGGGTTTTGTGTGTGGTGGGGCCACCCTTGTCCTCTCTCACCTATGAAAACCTGGCTGCTCCTTCCCGTGAAAGGTGCTCCTGTGGTTTCCTCTCCTGTTGGACTGCAGTGCCCCCTGTCCTAATTCAGTGTCCATCTCTGGAGATGTGCTTCCAGGCTGTATTTTGTCCCATTGCTTATGTGTCTGTCCTATGCCAACACCACATTGTCTTAATTGCCAAAGTTTTATCAAGAGTCTTTTTTTTTAAGAGGATCTCACTAACTTGCTGAGGCTGGCCTCGGACTTGTGATCCTCCTGCTTCAGCCTCCTGAGTCGCTGAGATCACAGGCATGTGCCTCTGTGCTCTACTTGTTTGGTGTCTTGAGATGTGACTGTAGACTGAGCTCAGATCCGGGCAGAAGTAAAAACCTGGGCAAAGTCCCTGAGGCAGGAAAGTGTTGAGTGTGTTTGGAAGGAAGAACAAGGAAAGAGCCAGTGTGGTAGAGGGGAGCAGGGCAACTCTGTAGGTGGAAAATTGTCTTCCAGACACCACTGGAAGCTTCAGGAAAAGGCAGGGCGGGTAAAAACTGTTTTCTTGTTGTTCATAATGAAGCTTGAGGTCACAGAAGGCAAGGACTGGACCCAGACCTGGTTGTACCTGTCTGTCTGTGGTGGGGTCCCGTTCCCCATCCACTTCCCTCTGGAAAGCAGCTTCGGTTTTACATAAGCCATCTGGACGCCAGCTGCCTGAGTCGGAGGGACCGGCCTGCATGAATCGACTGCCTCCCCAGCCCCGGGCCTCAGGCTGGTCCCCACGCAGGGCTGGGAGTGAGCCTGAGTCCCTGGACTGGGCGGTGCTCAGGGCTATGTCCTCGTTGTGTTGTGCTGTGGTTTGTTGTGGTGATGACCTGGGGCTGAGAGCACCGCTTCATTCCCAGAGCTACTTTGGGCCATCAAAGTAGCTGAAGGTGGGCCTCGTCACATTCCCCAGGGTTCTGCCTCACTAGAGCAGCCAGGGCATGGGAGGTCGACTGGTCGTTGTCGTCTTGCCCAAGCCACCTGGGCCTCTGTCCCAGATAGGTTGGTGGGTGTCACCTGTGAGGCGAGAAGCCCTGGCGAGGCCTCCCTGGCTCTTCTCTAGCACAGCTGCCCAGTTAGCAGCTTCCCACAGCTTCCGGCTGTGTATGGAGCAGTCGGACATTCCCGAGTGTTCCCCAGGGATTCAGAGCTTTGGTCTCTGGGCCAAGGATGCCAAGACCACAAGCCTTGTCTGCGCCTGCCAGTTGGTCAGCCTTGACCTCTGACCGTAGTGTTGGCCATGGCAGCAGCACTGTGTAGGAGGTGGGGGTTGGCATCCAGCTGGTGGGCGGGGGGCTGAGTGCTTAGCTTTGTATTTGCACCTGAACTCATTTACACGGTGTCCTGTGGGGGAGGGAACAGATGCCACCCTGGTGGAGGCCCCTGCTGCTCGGAGCAGGAAGGGCCTGGAGCACCAGGACTGTGAGAGGGTGCTGCCCACCTGTGTCTCGGACTTCGCCTGGCAGAGGCTCCTGGGGCAGCCTCCCCCAGAGGGTCCCAGCTCTGCCTCTGGCCAGCTGACCCTGACTCCACTCGGAGTCTCAGTCTGAAGTAGAGGTGGCAACAACAGCCCCTCAGGGTCACTGTGAGGGGTGTGATGGAAGCGAGCTCCATTTTAGTGGGTATGTGCATCGGAGGGCTACAGCCCTGCTCAGGGGCTTGGAGGAGGGTTGTGGCTATTTCCCAAAGTCAGAAAACAGGCAGAGAAGTCTCAGACTTCCTCTGGTTTCAGTGTGTCCCTGTAGGTGGGCAAAAGCTGGGCAGTTTCTCCTGCTGAGTTCAGGTTCTGGGCAGGGGGTGGCTTCTGCTGAGGGATGGTCAGCAAAGCCTTCTCTGAGAGATGCAGATAAAGTCCTAGGTGGGGAAATGGCAAATGCAAAGGTCCTGGGGTGGACACGAGCTCGATAAGTTCAGGAATAATCGGGCACCCAGGGGTTGGAGTATATGGAGCAAGAAAGGATGACACTGGAGAAGGGTAGGCCTTCTTGGTCATGATGAGGATTCTAGATTTTATGCTAAGGGTGTGGGTACAACCAGGGCTAAGACACTTTCCAGGGCTACTTAGTGGTGGCAGTGGCCCAGAGGGACTCTCCAGAGTAACCTGTGGCCTCTTGGCACCAGGCTGGCCAGAGAAAGTGTGGCCTGATTCTTCTCCTGGAAGACCCTCGAGTTTCCATGCCCCCTGATCCTGCAGTCCCTCCTTCTCTGGCAGGTCTGGGCCTGGGATGGACCGGGACAGGCAGTGTGTGCTTGTGACCTTGACTGTGCCCAGTGTGCATCAGCACTGCCCTAGACACCAGGACCTTCCCATGAGGCAGAGCTCACTGACCCATCGAACAGATGAGGAAACTGAGGCTGAGAGGCACAAAGAGAAGCGAGCTCTAGGTCTTGCAGCTAAGGAGATCTGCACCCTGAGTCACCCTTATCCCCAGCTCCCTGTTGAACCAGCTCTGACCAACAGAGAGGCAGGACAGCTCCTGCCAGGGCAGCTAAAGGTGCCACCTCACTTGGTATTAAAAGGAAAATAGGGAATTGGGTCAGTTGCTGTTTTAGTCAGCTTGGTTTCACCATGACCAAAGTATATGACAAGTTATTTGGGACTTATGGTTTCAGAGGTCTCTGTCCATAGACGGCCGACTCCATCGCTCTGGGCCCATGGTGAGGCAGCACTTCATGGCAGAGGGCCCAGCAT